TCTCGGCCTTGAGGAGGTGAATTAAAATAAAAAAAAAAAATAAAAAAAAAAAAAAAAAATTTATATAATTTAAAATATCAAAAGTGGCGTTAATATAAACTTAAAGTTAGCGTGTACTACTTTTTAGCCAATATTTTTTTTTATTTGTTTTAAAATTGAGTAATTACTTTTGTTATTGTTTGTTATGAGGAATTGCCTGAATAAATATTCTTGCTTTTGCAAAGATAATAAAAATAAAATTTCTTATTAAGTTTATTTTATGTTTTCTTTTTTTATGCATCTATAACATCTTTTTTGTTAACATTTTAAATGGAAAAGTTAGGTTAATAAAAATAAAATCTTTTTTGCTTTTTCTTAAGTTATCATATTTGTAAATAACACAAATATCAAATGTAATTGACATTCAAATTTTTTTACGTAATCGTCATTCAAACTTCATAAGTGGTTTTTATAACGTTAATTACTTCTTTTACCTTACCACTTCTTTAAATATTAAAAATGATAAAAGTGGCTTAGTTAAAATGGCTTACTGCTTATGTAAAATGGCTTAGGGCATATTTAAATGGTGGGCCAGTTTATGTCTTAAAAACAAGGCATGCATTTTAGAAAAATCCCACATGGTTTTTATGGAGCCACTACACTACTTATCAATGAAAATTTCCATTTAGTAGAAAAATAATTTTATTAACAGACAAACATTTATGCCATGAAAAAGATGAAATGAATAAATGGATAAATTGTGTCAATTATTCTTGAACAATTTGGTGACACATTGTATCTACAATATTCACTGTTTTCTGCATATCATTAAAGGGATCCCAAATTCCTAACACATGTTGTGTTCATATTAAAGATAATGTTAAAAAAAAGGTTTAAACCAAGTTTTTTTGAATAAAAATTAATAATGAATGCATACTGAGAAAAACTAATGTTGTTGTTTTAGCCAAAACTTGCCTTTTTTATTTTTTTCAATAACTCTTCAAATTATACGTGGCAATCTACAGACTTTGGTGATTTGAAAAGTTTCAGTATTTGACCTCACGGTAGACTTTTAACAAATGAAACTCTAGAAATATTTTTATTTATTTTTATTCAAAATTTTTTTGATTATTTGTTTAGTTTTTTTTTTCCATTTTTAACATTTAAAAAGATATTAAAAATAAAAACTTGTTTAAAATGACTTAATAAAGTGTTTAACTTCTGTTCTGAAAAAAACATGCACGCTAACAACTTTCGAACAACAAAAGTTATACTAGAGATATTAAAGAGTATTTCTTTTCTTGTTTAAAGCTAATTTCATACTCTGAAACACTTTTTATTTTAATAACTTTTACAGCATGGAAACTTGAATTTTTGATTCAAAAAATATATTGGGTCTTATTCTAAATTACACATGTCTTTGAAAACAATACTAGAAATACTGAAACTCTTAAAGGTGTGCATGAATGAAAATCATACCATTAAGAAAATTTCATTTGCTTATGTTAAAAAAAAATTTGTTTGTTTGCAAAAAAAAAAAAAAAAGGAGAGAGAAACAATACTTAATTCAGCTATTACAAGAACTGACTCTTGAAAATTTTTATGATACTGTGGCTAACCCATAATATAAAGCAAGTAAGATGTTTTCCTATTGGTTAATGACTACACAATATCTGTGCAACAAATAATTGTCACATATTTTACATACTGTATGTTTACATTTTCATGTAAATATGTATTATAATTAAGAGTCTGAAAGAATAAAAAAATAAATATAAAGTAAACTTGGAAAATAAAACTATAAAAATAACATATTTTTTATCTCTTTTTTTTTTTCAAAAGCTATTTATCTTTATCTTACCTTACTACTTTATCTTATATTACACATTATCAAAGTTTCAATTTAAAAATATCAAAACATGCAAAGAGCATGGCCAAGTTATCAAAACAAAACATTATATATGTGGTCAGGCAAGGCGTGCATCTGCATGCACCTCCTGTAAAAAAAATATAAAAAATATAATACTTACTAGAAAAATAATTTGCCAAGTCATTCCTTCCGATTTTATTAAGTATCTCAACAAAATCATCATTGTTATTTATCCCTAGAAGCATTCGATGTTCTAAAGTTTGAATTAATTCAATAGGAGTTTTAATTTTTTCAAGATGACCATAGCCAATTTGCTGTGAATAATAAAACTTCAATATAATCGCTTCAACATCTTTATCCAACAGATTATCAGTAATCTTCAGCAAAATATCTTTATGTTTCTTATCCATTTTTTCAAAATACTAATCTAAAATTTTACCCAATATTTTATATATTTTTATATAAAAAAAATAACCAAAAAATAAAAAAAACTCAACTAAAACTAAACGTTTTTATAATTTAATATTATCCAAAAAGCTTCTTAAAAAACAACTTACATCTAAAGATTGTTTAACAAATACATTCAAAAGTTAAAAAAAGGTTCTGAGCAACACTTCACAGTAACATAAACCAAAAGAAAAATAATTAAACCATTTATTTGAAAAGTATCTAATTTATTTTTTTATTTAAAGACATAACAAAAAAAAAACTTAGATAAATATAAAAAAAAACATTCGTTAATATTTTGTTATTCATTATAATATTAAATTAATATAAAAACTTATATAAAGATCAAAGTTATTTAATTCAAACAGCTTTCAAAAAGTTTGTCTTTTTTTTTTCTCAATAAAATCTTTCAACTTTTTGAGTTAATTTCATGATTCTTATATAAAGTTTTTATTAGAGACCGCTGTTTTAAGTCACTGCTTATAAAATTTTATTTTTTTTTAAATAGTTTTTACTTTTTTAAATTTACTTATAAAAAAATCTTATATAATTAAATAATATAAATAAAAAATTATACAACTATCAATGATACTTTAATTAAAATCATTAGTTACTCTATTTAAAAGCGTTTTGCTAATATAAAAATGTAAGTAAAGATAAACATGTATAATTTACTAATTTCCAACATGAATTAAAACCAATTTTTTTTAGCACATTTCTTAAAAACTATTATTTGCGTGTCATTTAAAGATATGAAATCGTCTTTTTGCTTTTAAAAAGTTTTTGCTATATTTTATATTTTTTCTCTTATTTAATAGGAAAATAAGAAAATAAATTGTTATTTATTTGTAAAAAGTATTATTTGATTAATAAATTTTGTTAATGATGGAATAAGTTAAATAAAATAATTACATAGTTTCTTTAATAAATGTATTTACCGCATTTCTGAATTTGCTTCCTTCATATATCCCAAAAAGTTAATAAGAATTACTATAGATAATGAACATAACGATTGCACTGTTTAAGAAAGTTTATTAAACACTTAAAAAATAAAAAATATAATATTAAAAAATCCTAAAAACTTTGTTAGAAAGCACAGTAAATTAACAATGCACTAGCCCACAAAGTTTTGCTTGGCTTGCATTAAGCAGGTCACTTTTTTTAAACAGCTGTTATATTATAATTTCAATAGGATTTAATATCTTCGAAAAGTTATACTATGGTGAGAAATAAATCAAAAGCTCATTTTCGACAAATGAAGATAACAAGATTTTTTTAAGGTCGACGATTTTAAAATTAAAAAGATTTTTTTTTTTTTTTTATTAGTAACTGATATTTATATTTTTTAATTTTCAAGACCAGTTTACAATGACTTTAAAATTAAAAAGATTTTTTTTTTTATTAGTAACTGATATTTATATTTTTTAATTTTCAAGTTAAAATCATTTGTTGATAACAAAAATTATATTTTAAAAAAAGTCAGAAACAATTAAAAATGATTAGGCGGGGAAGGGGTTTAATAGGCTTGGGATGGGAAGAAAATTTTGTGAAAATCAATAAATATCCCTTCCTGTTTATTAGGCACGCAAGAGTACACGGTAGCCTGAGTCAAATTTTAACAAAAGTCAAAATCCAGGGACACTATACTTTGCAATCTTAGTCATTTATATCAAAATGATAATGTTTAAAGTTTCAGCTCATAAGTCCATGTGTAACAGGATTACATTGAACTTGATTTTTTTAATTTTTTTAGCTTTTCACAAAAAACATCACTTTTTTTTCAATAATATAGCTTTTTTTAAATTGATAGCAAAAAAAAATTATTATAAAAAAAATATTATATAAAAACTTATATAAAGATCAAAGTTATTTAATTCAAACAGCTTTCAAAAAGTTTGTCTTTTTTTCTTCTCAATAAAATCTTTCTACTTTTTGAGTTAATTTCATGATTCTTATATACAGTTTTTATAAGAGACCGCTGTTTAAAGTCACTGCTTATAAAATTTTATTTTATAACGTATTTAAAAACTTAAAAAATAACTCCTAAAAACTTTGTTAAAAAAGCACAGTAAATTAACAATGCACTAGTCCACAAAATTTTGCACCACAAAATTTTGCTTGGCTTGCATTAAGCAGCTCATTTCTCAAGAGTACACATTTAACAATTTAACTTACAGAACTGCAACAATAACATTTAAGTATTTAACAGCTTGGATGTACAAAAAAATATATTTTTTAAAGAGTTCATGAGTGCATTTTATTTTATTTCTTCTAATTTTTGAAGTTCAAGTTAAATCTCCTCTATGATGAAAGAATGATTAGAAGTACGTAGCCAATCTTGTGCACAGATTAAAGCTTCGATCATTCTTGGAGTCAAAGAAGTACAGAAGGAGTCAAGGACACATTCTGAAGCTATCTTATCAGGCCTTGTTATGAGATTTTGTTGCATAACGGAAAAGCCCAGAAAGAATAAATGTAACTGTACTCAATAAAGATATTTATATCATTAAAAGTTTAATTGTGTCACATTTTCACTAGCATCAGTTGTTAATTCTAGATCTTTACTGGTGTAGTAAATTTTTAACACTGGGTCTTCAGAAAGGTTCTTTTTTAGCAATTCAAATGCACTTTGATGTTCTTTTTTCCACTCAAAGGCAACTCCTTTCCTCCTCAAATTATTTAACGGTAAAATCCTTTCAGCATATCATTCAATATGTCGACCATAAAAGTTTACTAATCCTATAAATGATTCAAGTTCTTTTTTATCGTTGGGAGGACTGATTTGGAGTATTTTGTTAACTAAATTATGATCTGGAGTAACTCCCTTCTCAGATAGCTCATATCCTATAAACGAGAGGCTTTTTGTTTCCATTACTGATTTTCTTTTATTTTATGATCATCCCTGATTCTTCCATTTGATTTAAAATTTTCACTAAATTACATTTTAGTTTTTCAGCTTTTTTACCACCAACACATATATCATCTTGAAATATAATCATATTAGGAATGTTCCCAACAATAGATTCTATTGCTCTTTGAAATATAGCACTCACAGTTTTTATACCAAAAGGCAAGCATCTTAACAATCCGATAGGTGTGTTAATTGTTGTTATTTCCTGTGCATCTTTGTCCATCTCAATTTGGTGATATGCTCCCTTGAGGTCAATTTTGGCAAAGTACTTCATTCCTGCTATCTTATGAAATACATTCTTAATATTTGGAATAGGGTATGAATCTGAACAAATCTTTTGATTAACTCCTATTTTGTAATCGGTACATATACGTAGATCTCCATCTTGTTTTCTGATAACAACAAGTGGTGAAGCCCATTTGCTTCCACCAGGTGGAACTTTTTTAAGCAATCCTTGTTGTATCATTATATTAAGTTTATTTATTACTAATGGTTGTATATGAATTGAAAGGGGTCGAGATTCAAAATAACTTGGTTGCATTCCATTTTTTATTATTATATTTGCTTTATAGTTTACTAAGCGTCCACTAACAAAAGGTTCTACACTGTTAACTAAGTTTGTTGCATTAATTTTTAATATGTCCATTTTTGTACAATCTGCAACAATAGTTCGTACAATATTTATTTTAGATTTAGTTTCCAGTGTTGCCTCAAACTCCCCTAAAACTTTAATAACTGTGCCATCAAATTGTTTGAGACGAAGGTAACATTTTTGTAACTAAGGTTTTGACATTAACTCTCAAAAGTTTTTAGGTATAATTGTGACCTGACTTCCAGTGTCAACTTGCATTTTAATGTTGAAACCATTTATTTTGAAATTAGTTTTTGAATTTGAGTCATTCATGTTAACAGAATATACACTTGCATCATCAGTCTCTACTTTATCTACTTTTCTAGCATAATCAATATTAGATTTACATACATTTTAAAAATAATTCAATTTCCCACATTTATTACACTTTTTTCCAAATGCTAGACATTTTCGTGGTAGGTGTTGTAGTTCACAATATTTGCATTTAAATGGTTTTTTTTTATTTTTGTCAATATAGTTGACTGAAGGGGATTCCATATCGTCAATATTGTTTTGCATATTAAATGAATATATTTCTTTATTCTGTCTTATAAAGTCCACACATGCTCCTTTTGTTGTTTCAAGGCTAAAAATCTAACTCTTTCGGCAATTATTAGTCATTTCTATGGTCTTAAACGGAACATAATAGCAATTTTAATGTCATTAAAAGTCATTTCTTCTAATTGTTCTGGATACACCATAAGTGAAATTTTTTTATAGCATCAATTCCTGCTTTTGATAAAAACAAATCAGTCACTTTGTGGTTGCTATTTATCGTGCCTTTCAACTTTTTTGACCTAGCAGAAGCTGAAAAGTATCTCACCCAAGCTTCTACATTGTCTGGATCGTCTAAACTTAACTCTGATATCCTACTCATAGCGCCATTGTTGTATCGTAGAATAAAAGCAAAACTACCTATTCATATTAATTATATATCTATAGTATATATTCTATATTCTTTTTTTACATGCATACAATAATATATATCTATATAAAACGGCATGTATTAAAATAGATGTTTGCAGAACGTCCATAACTCGTAGTCGGTTTTTAGGCACAACATGGTACTTTGAATAAACCTTTTCGTTATGGTATCAGAGCCTAAAGAGTTGTTAAAATATACAATCCAAAAAACTTAAAAACTAAAAAATGTTGAAGAAAAAACTAAAAAAATAAAAAAATGCCTCATCAACTAACATAGATTGCTATTCACTTTATAGAAACAATTGTAAACAAAGTAAGGGTGGCGGTGTTTGTATTTATGTTACCAACAATTTAAAGTTATATGAAACAATTTATGAAAATTCAAATGCAAAAAATGATATTGAAGGGCAATAGGGTGTTTAAAGAATGCAGTATTAAAAGCATATTATGTGGCTTTATTTACTGTACTGCAGATAGTAGTTTGTTTTGTTGCGAAAATATGGTCAAATCATTAAAGTATGCATTAAATTTAGAAAAAAGCAAGAAATACAGTGGTTTTCTGATATGCGGTGATATTAATTTTCATACGATAAAATGGAATGAAGATAATATAGGTAAAATAATACAAAAAAACTGTTATGCAATAATGGATGGAATAGTTTACCAGCAGAAGTTGTTCAATTTACTGCAGTTAAAAGCTTTAAATTAAACTTGCAATCGGTGGACTTAAAAGTAATAACAAAGAAGAGAAAAACCAAGAAAGCTTATTATTAATGTTTTACTATTTAGTAACTGAATTAACTTGTTCATTAATTAATTTATACCGGCTGTCATAGATATGGATTTTTTAAACAAAAACTATGTATTCCAAAATGCAATTTTACCAAATTTTCAAAAAAATATCAGTGAAACAACAAATGTTCTAGATTTAATATTAACTGAATCTCGTTACTGAATTTATATGTTAGAAAATGAATTTTAAATATAGTGTAATGGATCAATAATAAAGGCTATCAAACAAAACATCTGTTCAAAAAAGTAAATATAAAGAATTAAACAAATACTTTAATAATTATAATTGGGGAAAAGAGTTTGAAACCTCAGATGTTGATGAAAGCTATTTAAGGTGGTTAACAACCTATGAAAAAAGTTACAAAATGTTTATCCCTCAATTTCAACAAAACAACCAAAACATTAGAAAGATAAAGTCATTATGGTTGACTAAAGACCTAAAACTAAAGTTAAAAAGAACTTATGTTACTAAGCTGCAGGTTTTAAAAATATAGATGATGTTAAAAATTAAAAAAATCTTATTAAAATATTAAAAAAACAATTAAGGAGTATGAGCATAATTTAGTAAAACAATCAAAATCAAATACTAAATGTATATACTCTTATATAAACAGTAAAACCAAAATAAAAAACACTATTAGGGCCATAAGATATATAAATGGTGATGTTACAACAGATGCTAAAACAATATGCAATACATTATACACATTTTTCTGTTCAGTATTCATAATTGAAAATAACAGTAATATTTTTTATTTTTTATTTTATTTTAGTAATTGAAAATAACAGTAATACTTTAAAAAAAAAAACATTTCTTAGTTGTTCATACTTAAAATTAGAGGAATTATTAATTGAATTAAAACTAAAAAAATTTAATACAAATAAATCAATGGGTGTCAATGAAGTACATCCAAGAGTATTGAAGAAATGCTCACAAAGCTTATGTTAACCATTAGAGTTAATATTTAATCAATCATTCAAAAGTACAACTCTACCAAACTTATAGTTACATGCAAATATAATCATTTGTATGCAAATCAACTGCAAAGTCATGGAAAGTATTATCAGAGATGAAATAATGAAATATCTTAACAAAAGTAAATTAATCACAGTGAACCAACATGGTTTTGTGAATAAAAAAACTGTTGTACAAATTTACTAAGAAACATTAGATATTGTCAATAAAGCATTTGACAATAATATTCCAGTTGACATTATATTTCTAGACTTGGCTATTTGATACTGTGCCACATAGAAGATTGAGTATAAAAATATCTAAATATGGTATTATTAGTGATTTGTTAAACTGGTGCAGAGCTTTTCTAAAAAATTGATAACAGCGAGCTGTACTTGAAGAAAATATTTCTGGATGGACAAATGTTATAAGTGGTGTTCCTCAGAGATCAGTTCATGGACCATTATTATTTATTTTATACATTAATGATATGATGTTAAATATAAAAAACAAATGTAAACTACATGCAGATGATACAAAATTATTATCTATACTTGATCATAACAGTAGTACAGAAGATTTACAAGAAGATCTAAATAAAATGGCCCAATGGACAAAAAACTAGTTAATAGAATTTAATAATGACTAGTGCAAGGTTATGCACATTTAAAAAAATAATCCTTATAGGATAATAGGACAAGTACTTGATGCTTAATAGCTCCAAAAATAAAACTTATGCCACTAAACTAACAAAAACAACTTTAGAAAAAGATCTTGGCATATATGTACCAAATGAATTACGACATTAACTATAACGTCAATAAGGCTTACCAAAAAGTAGGCCTAATAAAAACTCTTTTAAATATTTAGATAAAAGAAATATAAGATTACTATTTACTTTATTAGTCAAACAATGTAGACAATAAAGCAAAAAAACAATCCGTTTTTTTGCTTTGTTGTCTACAATTTTTTTAAATAAAACATTAAAATAATAAATTTTTTGAAGCCATTGAATAAATCCTTGAAGCAAATAGGCTCTTAACTTATGTCATTTTTTGATAACTAAGCAACTTATTCTGTTATAAGTTGAGGCAAGAACAGCTAATGGTTCTTCGGTAGTCATTTATAATAATGTTAGAACCTTGAGGTTTTTTGCATCAAATAGTTTGATCCAACTCCAACCATATATAGAAAGTACTTTGCCTATATGGCTTTTTTTATATATTATTCATGTCTTAACCCTTTTGTGACGAGTGACCTGTATGGTGACTCATAAAATTTGTTTTTAAATGACGAGTGACCTGCGCAGGAGTTCATAAACAATTTTAAATATTTCAAAACATCTATAGAAATTGGAGAAAACTTTAAACTTATTTTTAAAATGTAAATAATTTCTTAAGTTGATGTTTCAAACCGTTTGTATATATGAAGGATATGTTTATGTATTTCTTCTTTATTTGTTTAGGGTTACATAAAGAAACTATATATTTTTGTTATATATATATATTTCAACATGATGTATTTTGATAATATTACTAAAATAATTTTTTAAAAAATTATTATTCTATGACAATTTGTAAAATTCTGTTTAAAAATATAAAATAAAAATTCGGTTTAATTTGCAAAATTCTGACTAGTAGCTTTTATTTTATACTCTTTGTAGTAGTCACCACTTTTGAGCAAGTCGCTCAACAAGCGAAAAAATAAAACTATTTATGCTGTTTAACTACATATTTACCAAATTAAGTAATTATTATTGCTTTCTTGAAGAAATGGTACTTAGGAATGGTGTTTAGAAATTAAGTATATAATGTTTTTATTCTTTTGCATATTGTTTGTTTTAATTTTAGCGCTTAATTTTTGATGTCTTTTTATTTCATGAACAAAGCGTTTTGTCAAAAAACCATTAGTTTTTTAAATACAAAAAATGCAATTAACTTCTAAAGTTGAAAGACCCTCATTTTATAAGTCTTATTAAGCTTTTTACATCTATGTTACTCATATATAAATATATTGACAAAAAAAAATCCTCTGGAATGGCTATCTTCAGATAGTAATAGTTAGTTTCAAAAATCTGTGTTTGCTGATTTACTAAATCATTTAGCTGATTAGCTTAAAATTAAATAATGAAAACCAAAACTCATAAACATAGTTTAACTTTTAAAAATAAAATGCTATTATTAGAATTTTAGAATGAAAATTTGAGAGATATCAAGTCGGATAAATGTCAAAAAAATTAATAATAAATAAAAATTTCTATTATAAATTTAAAGTTGTTCGAGTCAAATACAAATGTTAAATAATATTTGTATTTGAAAATTAATTAAAATATTATATTAAAGAT